TAATAACTCAAAAACTGAGGCTAGAGACAAGATTTGCTTATCAGATACTCTCATCAGAACATCTTTTCGATGTTCTTTAAACCTACATGTACATGTAAGCAAGCTCTGATCATGGAGGAAGGACACAGAAGGAGTTTGAACTGCCCGGGCTATAACATCTGGCCAATTACCGCTTTCTGGCATACGTGGTACGTCCATAGCCAGAGCGCAGCGCACGCCTGCTACTCACCACCTGTTTTGCAACCATAAGCCCTCTTTGTACCCTAAGATCGTCGCCGCTTTTTTTTCGTTGGTAATCTGCATCCCTATAACGTTGCGTACTGCAGTATAGAAAGTTGAATATTCATGCCATCGTTGGTGCTTGATATGATCCGACAACATCAAATTTAGTGCTTGCGTAGTTGCTTTTTCTAGGCCGTGTACCCGAAGTGTTCATGTGCAGTTGTTGCCCTTATCGAACGCTTTCTTCTGGACTTCTTTTTAGAATAAATAGCCAAGCTGTTTGTAAGATGTTGTGTTGTTTGAATAATTTTTATTATGGCATTTGTAAAAAGGCGTATTTTATGAGATTTCACGATCACTCCCTGTGATGAAATAGCGCATTTTGTTCCTAATGAACTGAGCTTTCCAGAAGTAGCGAAGATTTTGATGGCCAGTCTTAGCCAAACTCGTACCTAGTCTTTGAGCACTGATGTATTGGACAGAGGAGACTAGAATTACAAACTTTGCATGGATAATGAAATAGTCAAAATTTAAAACATTTATTTATGACGGCAAAAGTAGGTCTAATGTCAGGATTTTTTCTCTCTCTGTTTCCTGGTCACATTGATAGTTTGTATTTAATTGCAAGCAAAAAAACTACAAGTGTTGCCAGGGTATTACTTGCCCCACTTGTCCAGCTAAGATGCAGGCAGCAATAAGGCATTTTTGGAATGTCTTCTATTATTCGTCACGCTTTGAAGTGCATGAGTTACAACTCCTTCTGTGTCCTTCCTCCATGCTCTGATGAGATCAAAGCTACATAGGGAACGACAGAAATCAACTGACAATTGTCTCACATCACTTCATAAAGCCAGAGTACACATAAATTGTTATTACATGTACATGTATGAAAGGACAAAACATTTGTCATAATGAAGAGGTTAGAATAGCCACTTTTAACAGGGAGAAAGTTACATGTATCTGTCAAAGCAGCCTATTTCCCCGGTGTAGTCTTGAGATCAGCCAGCCAGCCAGCCAGCCAGCCAGCCAACAAGGTACTCATGGTTTCTCAGTCTCACACATACTAGCATATTAATCCTGCCTTAGCTTCTATTCTCACAAAAACATCCTAGCTTAATGTCCCCTCAAACAAAATAAAAGAATAGTTGTGAAATGTCTTTCAAAAATTACCATGCATTGAAAATTCTTATATCGGTAACAGCTTTAAAGTGGTAACAGGGAAGTCATAGAGGAATGATGCCTCATGCACTGCACTACCGGGGTAAATGGTAGTGGCACTCTACACTTAACTAATATTACATTGCTTAGCATCAAATTTCAAACTACAGACTCAGATCAGGGGACATTAACTAATGGGTTTAAAGGAACAAGCTAGGGGATTGCTTGAAAAGGCCTACATCTAACATGCATACATCTAAAGATGCTGATGTGCCAGTGATTTTAATGATAAGCTGGGCAGTTGTTATCCCACACATCTCTTTAAAAATCAATTCAAATCATTTGACATTCAGACAGAGACCTCACTCTTTGCACTCATTAAACAGAAAATTGCCAAGTTAAGGCAGAGACTGCCAAAGTAAATGGATAAATGCCTTTTACTTGTCCTGGTTGCTAAGTTACAAAGTGGACTCCTCACTTGATATTCATACAAAGAGATAGTCAGAAAGGTTAATAGCATCTATTTCACTGCATGTACACATACTTGAGACAGCAATTGAAATGATGTTCAATCAGTTGGAGACTATCAGATTTTCTGATCAACTGAGACAGATCTTTGGAAGCGGCTTTCAGAATTTGTTAACTGCAAAATGAGGGGAAAAATGCTCCCAAAATCTATCTGGTATCCTGACTCAAAGGCTATTCAAACTGCGTGTGGTTGGCACAGCGAAAGCAATTAAATCAGTTCTATCAATGTCTAATTCCTGGTTCCATAACGCAGAATATTAAAATGTTTCCTGGCTACTCCTGGGCCTTAAGCTACATGTAGCTTAAAGTTGAAGCACAAACCACCCATATATTTTGGTTTTGGTTTTGCAATGATTTCAGCGTCTTACCTTTTCCTCCTCCCATACGCTGGCCCTGCCCCTTTTTGGTAATTGGCTTACTGGGTGGTTCTACCCTCCATCTTGCAAACATTCTGGTGGAATCCAGGGATCTATTGATAGTGAGACGCATCATCTCAAAATGGCCATGACGTAAGTAACCACCGCTTCTAGCCTGAGGGAAGTACGGCATAAAATGCTATCTCATTAATCAGTCCTGACAGCAACTCCTCCAAAATATTCTTGTCACAAATACTATCAGAAATCAGGGTGTTATTAAATTCAGGATCAAAAGTGCTGTGCAAACTACAGCTGCAAAAATTCCTTTGCACCTGGCACGGTCTTTCAATCTGTAGTTATTAAGATAAATTTTGAAATGTTATAGAAATGTTTATTCACATGTACTGTAACTCATGAAATATGCTTCAAGTTCAAAATTTGTATTAGCATCATAGATAATACTTGTTGACCTGTTCAGATTCATAAAATCTGAAATAATGCAATGCACTAAGAATCTGTGATTAAGCCAGGAGGTTAATTGTGCTTCACAGTCACAAATGTGATGAACAAATTCTAAATGGTAAGATTAAATCTATCTGTATTAACTGTCTTACCACAATGCCATATTGCCCTAGCTTGAGTTTATTAGCAACCTCTGATGGTCCTCTGATTTGAATCAGCTGTTTGAACACCTTCTTGTAGCGTGTCCTCTTAGGAACCTTGTTGTAAAACTTCAACTTGGGTTTCTCTGGTATCGTCACATCTAAAAGGGGCAAAGATTGCAAATAAAGAAGCCATCCAATTTAAATCTACCTCATCTTTAGGGGAGGGCGGGTGAAGCAGTATATTCAGACCATTCTATTATTCACATTATTTTCTTGCCTACAGGCACTAACCAACTAAGATCAACATCAAAGATATTTGTCTTGGATTGTGCTATAAGTGAGGAAGCGACAACAGTATGTACGCTAATTAAAATGAGATGTGGAGTTTTGAGAGACCAACAATCCCATCAAAATGTCTAATATTAAACCTCAAAGCCAGTGACTAAATTTTGGCACTCACGGTCAAATGTCTCGATTGGTCTAATGTCCTTCAGTGAAGCCGTGGGAATAAACACCGATTTACTTGCTTCATACAAAAAACCTGCAAATGGGAAACACATTGAATTCTGTTACAATCCATCTCATCATTCACAGTCACGAATCCCCAAAACAGAAACATCCTGCAAGAAACACAACAAAATGACAATATTGCTACTTTTGGGGACAGGAAAAATGGGTGGTGGCAAGCAGATTCAAAACTGCAACATCAAGTTGGGAACCATACAGCTGACATATTCCCTTAAAGTGAATCAGGCCTATTGTGATTATACCCATTGAACTTCTTGGTTTGCATAGTGATGCAGATAATGAACCCTCCAGTCTGACAGTTCTAGGGTACTATCATGATTAAATTATGGTTATGATCAATACTGGCTGACTGAAAATAACTGTAAGCAGTTCAAGGCAGACTAAACCCTGACAACCATGGGGCTTGTGGTGGAAGAACACCCAGCCTCATCGTTCTTGGGGCAGGGTGAGGAAAGAGTTCCATACTGTGCACAAACATGACAAACCTACATGTACATGTACATGTATGACTGACACTTGTCTGAAAAAACTGAGGCCTACATGTAGGCCTACATCATGTGTTTTCAGGCCTACATCATGTGTTTTCAGGCCTACATGTACATCATGTGTTTTCAGGCCTACCTGTACATCATGTGTTTTCAGGCCTACATCATGTGTTTTCTAAGTAAAGGCTTCAGAATTTTCAAAGCTAAATTTCACTTTTCAGGACATGTTATGGTTATGTTCAGGTTCAACAATCACAATAATGACAATGGGCATGATGGAAATGTAGCTCTGTCATGATGTTATGTATACGTACATGTAGCAAGTTGGACAGAATTATTGGATCACGCAGTCATATCTGCTAGTGTGTAAAAACTTGATGACAAAACCCCATGGTAAATATGGTAATCTCCTATATTTCAGCTCAAATCTGTGATTCTCTTGTAGCCAAGAACTTTCTCTTTCAAAATAGGTCATTAGTTTGGACTAAACTGCTGTCTAACACCCAAAAAATAAATCAGAACGAACATAAAGTCAGAGAGCTTCGCAGTCAGGCAGTAGCGGCGTCACTGGGGGACACCATTTTGTGAATCAATTCTCAAAAAGCTTTGAACTTTGAATTCTTTTCCTCTTCTGGTACATGTAAATGCCCTCTACGTTGTTTTTATGCAATATTTTCAGCAAAGAGGCTCTGAGCTTTCGACTGATACCAAAATTGTCCAAATTTCCGTGGTAAATTCACTGAAAAAATGTTAAAATCTCTGCATTTAATGCCACCCACATTATCACAAAAATCATAAAAACTATCATTATGAAGGGGAGAGAAGGTATGTAACAGTAGTATGTTCGGGAAGTTGAGTTTGCTGATTCTGACAGCGTGTGTTGCGATGTCAAATTTCAGAAATTTTTTGATCGGCACATTAGAGTTTCACACTGCTGCATGTTCATTTGTACCAAGACTGGTTCCCATCCTGTCTCAGTCCTCCAAACGGATATCATAGGGGCAGCAACCAGTCCCATGACATGTGATGCATTGTATCATTGCCAACCTCGACTCCATGGGCTGGGTGCGCATCCTCCACTGGGAAGCAATGTGGCGCAGCAAGATCGTACCCATGGGAATGAGGTTGCGTTACTGTATTGGTTGCCGTTGGTTTATATACGTCTGGAGTACTGGGATGGGAGGGGAACCAGTTTCGACGGATATATGCCACAGAATGAAGCGCATATGTACGGATCATTGGTGAAGAGAGGCGTATTAAGTAATTAATTGATTAATA